ACCTCGGGAGACCATGTTCACTGACCCAATGATCTGTCTCTTATACACATCTAGATGTGTAAAAAAGAACTTACCAGGGCTGGTCCCCGGATGGACCGGGGCCCCCTCCCCCGTTCGGGGTCCTCCCGGTTGGACCGGCCGGTGGACTGGGCCGGTTCCCTCCCTGTCGACCCAGCACATTTTTGCTGGGGGTTAAAAAAAAAAATTCGGCGGCGCAGCTGTGTGTGGGAGGCCTTTTGGAAGCAGGCCCTGCCCCGCAATTCCAAAACTGGGTCCCGCAGGCCTGTTTCCTGTGAGTCCAAAAAGCGGCCGATCTTGGCCGCCGATCATCACAGATCAGCGGCAAAGATCGGCCACTTTTTTTAACCCGTTTGGGCGGGAACCGCGCAGTGGTGCAAACGCCCGGCGAGGGAGAATGCATCGCGCGGCCAACCCCTGTTCACCCCTTGCAGACGACGATGCCCCACCGCGCGATGTGTTTTCCCCTGCCATCGCCACTGCCATCAACCAGCGCCAGCCAGCTTCGCCATCAACCACCAGCCAGCCTCACCATCAAGCCCCCCGCAAACAAGCCACGCCAGCGCCCCCTGTGAAGAAGGTTTGTGGCCCCCTGTCCTTCTTCTTCTTCTTCTTCTTTCTACTTCTTCTTCTTCTTCGTCGTTCAAATTCTTCGATGTCTGCTCATCTTCGTGTCCTTCTTCTTCTTCTCCCTCGTGTCATCTTCGTCTCTTCTTCGACTCCTGGTCTGCTTCTCTTCTCCTCCTCCTCCTCTTCTTATTCTTCTTCGACTTCTTTCACTCTTCTGTTTCCCCCCCTCCTCCTCTTCTTTGTCTCCTCCCTCCTCTCTTCTTCCTCTCCTCGTCCTCTTCGTCTTCTTTGCCCTCTCCCCTCCTTTTCTTCGCCTTCTTCGTCCTCTCCTCCTCCTTTGCTTCGCCTTCTTCGTCTTCTTCCAGATCTTCTGCTCCCTTCCACGACGACCCCGCTGGTCGTCCATCATCCTCACCCCCCCCCCTCAAGCGATATTTTCTTCTTTTCTTCTTCTTCTTCTCCTTCTTTACTTCTTCTCCTCCTTTTGTTCTTCCTCTTCCGTTGTCTACTTTCAAGTTCTTCTTTTCTTTCTCTTCTTCTTCTTGTGCTTTTTCCACTTTCTTTTTCTTCTCCTTCTCCTTCTCCTCCTCCCGTGCTTCTTGTTCTTCTTCCACTCCTCTTCTGATCTTCATCTCCTCGTACTCTTCTTCTTCTTCCTCCGCTTCTCATCCTCTTTGTTAGCCATAGTCGTTTTTTTTTTGTTTTTTTTTTCACTCCCTCCTCCTCCT